TTTTTTTTTTTTTTTTTTTTTTTTGGGTCTGCATTCGGCCCGAACGGCCGAACGCATCCCCAAGGGGTCCCATACGTTCCGGCGTTCGGGTTCGGGCATTCGGCCCATCCTGAACGCCGGTTACCCTGTATATATATATACCCTATATATATATATATAAAAAGAGAGAGAGAGAGAGAGAGAGAGAGAGAGAGAGCAAAGTTTGTCAATGTAATAGAAATGCACCGGTCGTAACTCTCTGCTGAGAAACAATGCTCTGACAATATCAGATCATTATGTAGCTAATTGGTAGAAGTTAATGCGTTGAGCCCAGAAAAAAAACCGTTTTCAAATCAGGAGAAAACAAGAGAAAGAAAAACAAATGAAATTGCAATACTAAGACGCGAAAAAAAAATATATTGAAAGTAGAAAGGACTACAACACCCATTCAATAGCTCAAATGTCCGGTGTGAGCTTGCTTTAACCAAAGTGCAACCTCAATCTCACTACCTCACTACAGATATGGTCAGACTGATTCCTGTACCTCAAATGTCTCATACACAGAGATCACTAATGGTTAACAACCACTTGAAATTTAAGAGTGAAACATTATAAAGTGGTCTGAAATCGCTGAAATGGCCTGAAGACACTTCATGTCATTTCATAAGTTGGGTAGTTTTAAGGACAAGTTTTATGGGGTTTTTTTTTTTTTTTTGCCTGTTTTTGTTTTGGTTTAGCGTTGATGTGTGTTACCTGAAATGACTTGAAGTGGCTGAAGCTTTTGAAAGGGGTTTCAAGTATCCCCATCCCACTATTTGGATGGGGGAACCTGAAACCCCTTTCCGAACCTTGAGCCACTTCATGTCATTTCAGGAATTTTAGGTGGGAACCTCAAATCCGCAGTAATGACCTGAAGTGGCTGAAGCTTCTGAATGGGGCTGAAAGGGGTTTCAGGTACTCCCCTCCAACCATTTGGATGAGCCACTTCAGGTCATTACTGCGGTTTCAAGTCCCCACCTGAAATTTCTAAAATAACTTGTAGGTAAAAAAATGAAAGCGGTTTCAACTTTCAAGTCCCCTGATCTAAATGGTTAGACGGGGGCACCTGAAACCGCTTTCAAATTTTCAGTCGCTTTAGGTCATTTTAGGAGTTTCAGGTGGGGACCTGAAGTGGCTGTAAGTGACCTGTAAATAACATTTGTTGTTAACCATCTCTCATACAAATGTGTCACTAGAGCGGCTCATGTCACATAGTTGGTGTCACACATCACATTTCACACAGTTGATGCTACACAACTCTTTTTTTTCCCTTTCTTTTATTTTCTTTTATTTTCGGGGGAGGATTTGCCCCATCTAATCTGGGGGGTTGCAGTCTGGTTGTATACCGACTAGCATAGAGAAAGATCAGAGTGGAAGAAGTGAGACACAACGCATCTCACACAGTTCAGATCAGACAGTTCAAACAACAAAGTTCACATCACAGAGTTGTGCAGTTGTGTGACTCCAGCCAATCATGAAGGTTCCGGATGGACTCTTTTGGCCACATATACAGTTGATGGCCAAAATAGTCGCCCCATGAGCCCATCTGATACTTAGTATGTGACTCGTTTGGCCACATATACAGTTGTGGGACACCGACATGGAAATTGTGCGACCCTGCGGGTCACTTCTATACTTGTGCACACAATTTGCTGATGAGCTATACAACTTTGTGACTCTACATTCCTCTGATATGCACGGCAGTTGCCACACCAACTGCCCATCTCTACGTTCTCACTCTTCCTCTCCACTTCCCTCCCTTCCCTTCCCACTTCCTCTCCCCACACCACTGCTCTGTGCCTCCCACTTCCCTTCCTACTTCCTCTCCCCACACCACTACTCTGTGCTCACTACAGTTACCCCGCACTTTTCAACTCCACCTCTCACTTGTTCCTTATTTCAAAGGTCCCTCTACATTCCACACATGCCCGGGGCCTCCCCCCTTCATGGTTGCTACATGGTTGCTATAACTGCTATTAGGTGAGTAGTTTTCCCTAACTTCACATATAACAGCCATTCCCTCTATTTGGGGGGAGAGACAGTAGCCCCGTCTCCCAAAGCACCTTCCTATTCCCAACTTATGTCCCTTAAACTATCGACTTTAAATCGACCAGTAGAACCCAACCTCTTTTGCCATACCTAGTCGCCACCCTCTACTAAGCCAACTGCCATGGAGAAGGGGAGCCCAATCCTGGTGCAGATCCACTTGAAAATAGACCTGCGCATGACGGCGTGTGCCTAGCCTCCACTATCAGGCCTCTGCTGGACCTCTACTGACCCTATCCATGGCCACTCTAAAAATTTTGCCGAGAGATGTGACGGGCCGTTGGAGTGCTGGTTGTTTAAGATCAAGTGTAGCGCTTGACTCTCTCATATCCAGTGGGGTTCAAGCTCTCAACTCGATGATCGTGTTTACAGAGAGGTCGGGCCTGTCCCACTTCAAACATGCATCCATCACCATGTAGAGGGAGAGAATCTGAAGGTGAGAATCAAGGATGACAGAAGAGACATGTAATCCTGATTTCGATTTAGGAAACCTTCAAAGGAAAGCATAACAGCAGGACCGAGGTGCATAAATTACCTAATCCTGACATAGGGAGTAGTGACAAGAAATAACATTGCTGGGCTCTTTCGAGTCTGGTAATTGGAATAACAACAGTCGTTAAAGGAAACAAGACAAAAGAAAGGAAACCTGAACCCAAACCCGAACCCGAACCCAAACCCAAAGCGGAAGCCGAAAGCAAAGCAAATCAGAGCAGAGCAGATGTAAAGGATTGCTTGGATGAAAATGAATCTGGAACCAAATAAAAGCCCAAACGCGAAGCTGAAGCAAAAGCAAAATCCTAACCCAAACCCTAAACCCTAAACCCAAATCCAAAACCAAGTCTATAAATGATCTTATGGCATGGCAGAGCAGCTGCAAGTATATGTGGCTGCCCTGCTTACTTGATTGTTTACGTTGTTTTTCTCTTCGAGTTGTCGGTCCAACAGAGGCAAAGGTATAACAGATGAGGGTGCAACTTAAGCATCTCCGGTCATCTGTCCCCATCCACAAAGGTTGGAATTTTGTTTCCTCACCAGGAGGCAGGAGGTTCAATGCCACCATAAAGAAAGAGTATGCCAAGGGTACAACAATGGTATCACAATGGTATGGCCTAGCCACACTTACCATCCACCAAGTCCATCATGCGGTCCATGTGCACCATAGTGGCATATACCCTTGCTGTACCCTTGCCAGACCTTTGCAAAAGTGGTTAACAGGGGGTGTTATTTTCAGCAAGTTTTGCACTGAAACTGTCATATTGCCTGATGTTTTGCTTCCCCTTGCTGTTCCATCTCAGTATCCTACTAAGCTTCATCTGTAGGGTTAATGTACCTTGCATTCTTGCCACAACCTCACTATACCCTAGATATGCGCGTCCATAATTGTTTCTACGCACTTGCTGCACCCTTGTGCACTAGCTGACCCTTTTTGTAACCTTATCATACCCTTGCAGTAGCCTTTGTGTACCACTCCTATACCCTCCTTGTACTGTCCCTATACCGTGGTTTAGACGCATCCTTGTCCCCTTTCTGTACCTTGCTGCACCCCTAAAAATCTCAACCCCTCACAAGCTGCACCCCTAAAAAGCCTCCACACAGTTCGTTACACATGTACCCTCCTTCTACTGCTCTTCTGGCTTCCATTCTTACACTGGTGCCATGCCCTTTACTGCTTTTCATACCCTTCTTGTACCCTTGGTGTGCCCTTGGTACCCATTTAACCTTGCTGAATCCTATCTGCACCGTCATTGTACCCTCACCGTACCCTGGCTGTACCCTTGCTTGACTCCCACTGTACCCTTGCTGTACCTCGCTACGGTGAGGATGGGGAATGCCGCAGTTGTCAGCCACTCCATGCGAAGGGGACTTCACATTTGATCTGTGAACTTTGCCATGCCAAGGGTGCACTGAAGCCTCTCTCATCTAGTTATTACCCCCGGCCTTCACCTATCTCTACTGAATACTGAATGAACAGGCAAAGGTCGATCGTGCAAAGCTGTGAAAGAAGTGTCCACACCCCCAGGACGAATCCGGTAATCGGAATTATAGTTGGCCAGCATTGCTCATCACGGGAAAAAGTCTTAATGCAAAAAAATGAACTTGGAGATCGCAGAAACATGAGTACAACTGTACAACGAGACTGTTGCTGTTCAAGTTTGGTGTCCATGCATACTTGAAGGAAGAACTTCATAATCAATCAGATTGGTGACTGCTCATCATTGCCTGTAGAACTACGAGAAGTACGAGATTATCATGCTTCAGGTTTAGTCTTGCTCTTCATTACACGCAGCGGAATGGCAGTGGTAGGCTTAGCTCGAGTGTCCCAATCGTTTTGTTAGGCATCCGTTCTGGAACGGGCCCAAGACTGGGATGGCCTTTGGGATCGCAAGGCCCCATGTGCTCCAAGAGAGGGTATAACCTTGGTGGTGGAGGCCTTGATTTAGTAGATTTCCCAAAGCCCAAGCCGAATTCACCCGTCGGCGGATTCCCCTTCGGCACCCGTAGCTTCCTCCGTCTTTCGAACACTCTTTGTTCTCTCTCGATCTTGGCTTTCTCTTCCCTTTCAAAATCAGGGTCCTTCACTTCTCCATTGATCACATCGTATCTGCTCCTTATATGACGTCGGATCGGAATTGGCCACCTGTTAAACTTGTTCTCTCGATATTCGGCTTGAAGTGCTTGCATCCGTGCGAAGTACTCCTCAGGACTTTCCCCCTCGTAATTTCTGCATAGGAGAGGGTTGAAGACCAAGTACTTTTTGCACCTCTGCTTTGCAATCTCCCTGTGTCATGCCACACACAAAGAGGTAAGAGACGGGCATGCCCCAGGTTTTCAAAACTTTTTTACCTCTTCTTTTCTTTCTTTTCTTTCCTTTTTTTTTCTTTTTTTTTTCTGCTCTTTCCTTTTTGATCCATTCTATTCTTCTTATGCAGGATGCGGGGGAGCATCATCACTCTGTCTTATTAAAAGGCAGCAGAACCATTTTTTCCCCCCCCAGCAAAACGGCGATGCTCTTGAGGTATCATTGTCGGACTGACTGGGCCCAAGTAATACAGAGTAGACATTTTATTCGTCTGATCCCAGCAGAACCATATATATTGTCACACTGTAAATCAGAGCGCGAAGGCGGAAAAAAGCAAAACAAGGAAAGGAAAAGAAGGAAGGAAGGAAAGCCCCACCTGTTCATCACCTCTTACGTACAAGGCCAGCCACGTGGATGACAGGTTGAGCGCTGGCTGCCCCCATCCCCGTGTGTCACAAGGACCCACTTGCACGCAGCCAAAAGGCAAAGAGGTAAAGACAAGGATATATATATATATATTTTTTTATTTATTTTATTTTTTTCAAGGAAATTATGCTTATATATTGCATGGACACCTTCCTTTTTTTTGTTATTGAGAATTGTGGTATCTCACTCATCTGCTTCCAATGGAGTTCAAACTCAGGTCTGTTTTCAACAGCTCAGGGTGTACCAACTGAGCTAGGCCAGTTGGTTTATTAACTTTGCAATGAACCCAGACAGATGAGAAGCTCATAAATGTCGTGATACAAGTCTGACTCAGCGCAGCAATAATGTCTCCAAAAATCGTTTCTGTATCCATGCCCGAAGTACATGCAATCTCCCAATTTCTCGATCTTCAGAGAAGAGAGTGATAGAAGGGGGAGAAGAGACAGAGAGGAGGAGAGTCAACGAAGCAATAGTCTCTGCTCAAGCCCACTTCCTCCTCCTCCTCCTCCTCGAGAGAGAGAGAGAGAGAGAGAGAGAGAGAGAGAGAGAGAGAGAGAGAGAGAGAGAGAGAGAGAGAGAGAGAGAGAGAGAGAGAGAGAGAGANAGAGAGAGAGAGAGAGAGAGAGAGAGAGAGAGAGAGAGAGAGAGAGAGAGAGAGAGAGAGACTCTGCTGCAGAAGTGGAATGATTTCGATTTTCAAGAAACGAAATTCGTGAAATAATTGAAATTTTCGGGAAAATAATTTCGCGGAATAATTCCGGTTTCCAAGAAACGAAATTCGCGAATTAATTCTGTTTTTCAGAAAAATAAATTCGCGGAATATCTCGTGTTTCAAGAAACGAAAATAACGAAATACTTCAGATTTTCAGAAAATAATTTCGCGAAATAATTCCGATTAAATTCGAGATTTTGTGAAAAAGAAATCAGCAAAAAAAGAGAGTGAAAGTCCGGAAAAAAACTTCAGATCTTCAGAAAAACGGAATTTTTCGATAGAGGCATGAACTTCCAATCATGAGTGGCCTAATTAATCAGAGACAGGAAAAAGTTGCATATCTTGGGAAGAAATCCCCGCTAATAATCAGAGATATAACCTATCAATCAATCAATCAATCAATCAATCAATCGATCGATTAACCAATCAATCCATCAACTAATCAATCAATCCATCAACTAATCAATCAATCAATCAAGTCACCTTGATTGATCAGTCGATGCACGGATTCGTCAGCGGTCCCAACCAATCAACTTTCTTGGCTGATCAATCGCGTCAGGTCAGTCCTACGTCACTCTGGACCGTTCCAATACCAAAGTGATGCATGCTCATCTGAAGATGACCGGTGCACATGTCCAAGGAGCACCAGTGTGATGAACACGACTCGAAACAAAACCATATAATGCAATGTAGCGCAGCGGAAGACTCAAAGGTATGACCTGACCATATCAGATCCAGACTTGACTGACACAATCATCATCACAGATGTCACGCAGCAAGGAGGGAAATCATACACGGAAGAAGGGACCCTCCTTGCACACACATTGGGAAGAAACCATGGATGATGAGGGCGAGAGGAGAGACGAAGATGTAGAGGGGAGAGAAGACAAGAGTAGAACTCATAGTCATCCAAGAAAGTATCCCCGTCAAACGTCCAACCAATGTCTGTCCTCAAAAATGTCGAATCAGATAATGGGCACACATAGGATCAAAACAGTCACTGCCTGAAATCTCTCTCTCTCTCTCTCTCTCTCTCTCTCTCTCTCTCTCTCTCTCTCTCTCTCTCTCTTTCCCTCTCTCGCCCCCCCCCCTGAAGAAGAAGAAGAAGAAGAAGAAGAAGAAGAAGAAGAAGTAAAAGAGGGAGGAGGAGGAGAAGAGAAGAATAGTGGCTATGGAGGAGCGGAGAAGAATCAGGAGAAGAAGGAGAAAAAGAACTCTCCTCTCTCACGGGCTCCTGATGCTGATGCCACAAATTCTAACCAGTGAAGGTGACGACTCCCCATGTAGGTGGCTGCTGAAGGCCGGTCCCATGACCGGTGTGAAGTCCCAGTTATGGCGCCCAGGTAAGTCTCTCTCTCCCCCTCGTGGACATTGCCTCCGCCTAACCTCTCCACTCCAGCCTACTCCTCTACTCCTCTACTCCTCTAACGCTCTGCTCTATCGCCGCTCTCCCCAAACGGGCACTGCTCCAGCAGTGTGATGCCCAACTGAAGCTCCAGCCAGAATGTCTCCCCAAAGTGGAGGACTGGCCCAGCTATATACCGCTGGGCCTGGCTGAGCAGTCCTTGGTCTGCAATCAGGACCATCGGATCTGATGTCCGGTCGATGGTCCTGATCATGGGCCCAAGTCCTGGTCCTACGATCCTGGCCAAAGACGGCCTACCTGGGTCCCTATCAGACGTCCAGGCAACCCTGCTGATGCAGCAGGGTCCTGAGGACTGCGCCAGGCACAAACAGACAGATGCGTGGCCCAGTCCCAGATATGGACAAATCTGAACCTAGTCTACAATGGCCCAAACTGAAATCCACTGGTCCGAACAGGCATCTGCCTGCTGGGACAAAAGGAAAAGTCCCAACCGACACATCTGAAACAGACAAAAATAGTCCAAAAACCAGCAGAAATAATAAGTGCTGAATAAAGGAGAGCACACGTGGAACAAAATGTGTGCCTGGCCTGGAAACATGGCCACGGGCCTCCAGGTTGCTCACCAAAAATGGGTGTGCGGCCTGGGGCCCTGGAACAACCGCCGGGCATATTACAATATCCTACAGCGCGACAGCTGAGAGGAACAGCGAAGGAGGGTCGGTCAAAGAACCGGTGGCTGCATAAGGCTTGAGTGGCCTGATGAGTGGAAGTGTTGAGTACCCTTAGCTATGGTGAAGCTGAGGGATGTTGGGGAGGAGATGACGACACCATGATAATAAAGCTCATGTTATCTTCTTCATGAATTTTCTCCATTATTGTGTAATTCTTCTCTCAACAGGCCAGGCCACGACCACATAGACATGCAACAGTCAACAGCTAGAAACAGAAACAGTCATCCTAGCATCCAATACCAACAGTACTTCGGGAGGCCGACCTAGGTAGGGGTGAGGGGTGGTGTATGCTTCCTAAGGGAAGTAATCAATGCCGTCGACTCAGGCGTCTCAACCGTAATTGCAATGACTTGCTGATTCTGCAGCTGGCGGCCCGTCGAACCGAGGCTGTAACATAGGTAGGACAGATTCCTAATAGACATGCCGCGCCCACATAGACATGCAACAGTCAACAGCTAGAAACAGAAACAGTCATCCTAGCATCCAATACCAACAGTACTTCGGCAGGCCGACTTAGGTAGGGGTGAGGGGTGGTATATGCTTCCTAAGGGAAGTAATCAATGCCGTCGACTCAGGCCTCTCAACCGTAATTGCAATGACTTGCTGATTCTGCAGCTGGCGGCCCGTCGAACCGAGGCCGTAACATAGGTAGGACAGATTCCTAATTTTGTTTCTACCACGTACTAACCGGGAAATCAGCGTGTGGGGAAATACATGAGGGACATATCTACAAAGTTGTAAAAACTAACAGACCCACACTAATCCTATTTCCCTATAGTCACCCTAACTACGAATAGCAGGCCCGGGCTACCACGAGGACAGACAGGCCTAAGGGCCTACACTGATAGACTGGTCCTATAGCCTATAGCCGGGCAGGGTGTGGCCCTAGAGGCCGAAACTGAAACGGTACCGGTCGGTCCAGTAGGTCCGGTCTAGGTCGACTCTAGGCTAGAGTATATCTATTAATAGATTGAGGAAGGCTGCTCAGGGCTTTTGGCGGTTGGCATTTTGCAGATCACGACAACACAACGCGTGAACTGGAGTGGTGACAGCTTCAACGTTGAGGAAGACAGACATAGCCAGACCCTCGAAGTGTCGACCATAGTTGGGTCCTTCGCTGTTCTCTGACAGCACGTGGGGCTGCTCAAAGGTCTGGGCTATCTGAGGTCTGCTGGGAGCTCGAGAAGTTGGTGCCTTGTGGAAGCCTCCTCAGGAGTAGGCTTCAGGGTGGTGGTGTTGCAGCCATAGTTGCGGCTTACATCCTCAAAGATCTCCTTTGTTAGGAAAGGTGGCGCTGCTGCAGATCTTCACTAGCGAAGTCGTCTGGTACTTCATCTTCATCAGAGACTGTGGCGCTGGTCTTCTTCTTCATCTTTTGAGAGGCACTTGGCCTCAGGGGCCTGTTTCAGGGTGGCGCTTCCCTCTAGAGGCAGTAGCTGGGTGGCGCTGGTTGTTTCAGGGGCTCTGGGATAGTAGATAGCGGTTACTCTGGGTTGGGGGAGAAGCACTGCTCATTCCTGAGCAGCGCACCATGTTTATGAGACTATTATGACAAAACGATTCTCTGAGTTTAATAAACAGTGTGGATACTGTGTGAGAACTATCTTTGCTTCATTGTTTTGTGGATGTGATCTACTCAACTTTCCTTTGTGACTGGTTGTGGGGATTTTGTGGAGCCAATTGCACTTTCAGTGTGTTCTGTCATATCGCATGGTCAAGTCTTCCGCCGTGTTTCTTTCTCTCT